TCGCTCACGCAGGTCCTTCTCGGCTTGAAAGATAAATTTAAATGAATAAGTAATTAAGTGAAAAATGAGTGAGGTTGGAGCAGTGGATAAGCTGGAATGTGCGAGTGTAGAGAAGTACACGGGGGAGCCTCTGAGCAGGAGGGGAGGTCGACTGTAACAATGTGGTGGGGAGAAAGTTTGAGAGGTACCCTTTGAATGGACATTTGCAAGAAAAAGAATGTGTCGGTCAAACCCGCCACCGTGAAGCAGGGCTAGACAATGCAAACAGCCGTCATTTGCAATAACTGATGCAGTCTTTCTCCGTTTGGTTCCTACTCACTGTTTTCCCTCTTCAGCATCCCTATCTTTTTCAATCCACTTATCTCATGACAGATTATCCTGCTTCATCTTGATTTAATTGGGCAAATATCTCTCAAAAACTGTGCTTGAATGATTAAAAACAGTAAGCCTTTATCAAAACAGATAACTCAGGATGTCTCTATTTAAGACTGTGCAAATGAAGAGTCAAATGCTGCATCTCAGGAATTTTGGCAAAGACAAGTAGATTTTACTTAACCTTGTTCCTTAGCGAACAAACCTGTCTAAAAGAGTTTTATAGTGTGTATAGCATGAAAAGAAAAGATTAATCGTGGACTCTACGTGTAGCCTGGTACGTGCTAGGTGTGGGATTAGTGAATCAGACGTGGAATAACACAAGCATTAAAGCTGAGTTAAGTAATACTTGACCACTTAAGGGCAGTGGAAAAAATACACATCACTTATAAACTAACAACTACTGTGTCAGTGTATTATTTAAAATATGGCTCCTATTTACTTACTTTAGAGATCCAGAATATTAACCACACATCTTTTTAGATACAGTTTCTCTTAGTTTACCAGGTTTTCTGGACTTGATGACCAAAACTTTATGCTTTCTTCTCAACCGAATGAACTTCTGAAGGAAATTCTCTCAGATGTTTTCTCTCTCTTTCTCTCTCTCGCGACATATATATGCAGTAAACATCATGGCAGCGGCTAAAATGAACCGCATGAAGATGTGAGCTGAAGATGTTTTTAAGTAAATAAAGTCAAAATGTCTCTAATGTTATATAAGTGAATTCTTTACTCATTACACCTTTATTAAGGATGTTTTTGTGGCAGAAAGCATGTTGAAAGCAGAAAGTACACAACACACACTCTCACACACACCCAGCCACCCCTGCTGTTCCCACTCTGGCTTCCCTGTGAATGAGGACAGCAGAACAGAGGTTGGCAGCAGTCTGCGGGGCTACGGATGCTTATCAGAAAGGCTTACAAATCCCCCCCTGATGCTTCTGATATGGAGGACAATGGGTATGCGTGCGTAGTGGGAACTCTCTTTAAAGCCTTATTGAAACTGACTTCACTACTTTGCTCTTTAATGAGGTCAGAGTAGGCTGCTGGCTGTATTTCATTGCTGTATACAAGGCATGCAGTCATAATAAACTTTAGCCCAATTGGTGACCCAAGCAGGTCAACAATATCATTTTCAGAAAGAAAGGCTGGACACTCTGTACCTGGTTAAGTCAATACTTCCCTCATTAAACACAACATCAAAGACATTACTTCCCTCTGCAGAGGCTCATGAGCCCGATCAAAGTATATTATTATGATTTGACAAAGCAAATATCCTTTTGCAGTGGACTCCTTAAATAAATCCCACAGTTTCTGACTCTCTTTGTGGTCCTGTCTTTGTATTGAACTTGGGGTTAATTGCTCCGGTGGTGGCAAAAGCAGCTGCGAGGCCACCAGAGTTGCAGGTGAGCAGAAGCTTTTGACAAACACACAAACCTCCCACGCTGCTTTGTGGCGCTTTCAAAGAACATTCTTGAAATGAGACAGCGTAAGAGTCAAATAAGAGGATAAAGACTGAAGTGAAACTGAAGAAAACTTTTAAAACGAGCATTGCATTTCATGAATTCTTTAAGAAAAAAAAAAAGACAACACCCGCAACACCCCTTTGCATCATGATTTGGTCGGATTGTTCAAAATGAACCTGAAACACAGCAAACATTAGACAAAAATGTAACTGTCATTATTCAGAGGATGTTTTCAGTTATCTTTCTGGGGCTGAATGTTGGGTTTAACCCATGTCTTGGTTTTGGGTGGGAGCCAAAAACAGTAAATGTGATTTACTGAATGTCTGCAACTGGTTTCATATTTAGTTGACTAGGCCGGGTGCGGCAGGGAGTTGCCCTCATATGAATATGTCTGCTGAATATAATGATTTTATCCTCAGTACTGGGATGTACTTGTTGTAATTGTTTTATACATAAAAAACAGTGGAATTTATTTTGCTGTATGAATTAGTGTAAAATTGGAGTTTTGAAATAATAGCAAATATGTTTTCATCATTTTTCTGATCATATCATCATGTTTTAATGATTTCTACCAGTTTTATTTCCATTAGAGACCATTCTTTGTACCAACACAGTCTCACTGCAGTTTGTGAAATTGCTACTAAGACAAGTGAAGGGCTCTTATTTTGAAAGAATTATTAAGTCTACTGTGGGAAGTTGGAAAGTTGGCATAACTCATGGGACTTTAACCCAGGACACTGGGGTTCAAATAGCTTATGATACCATTGTTTTTAGACTTCCTCTGTTATTTTGCCTTCACACCAACAGCCATTATCTTCGTCTCGTTCTTGGGAGCGTGATATCTCTTCTGTCTCTTGAAAGAATTTTTTCAACTTTTGGAACAAATGTTCCCTTTGACTCAAAGAGGAGCAAGTCACACGACACTGTGACCTCAGAAACATATTTTTGGTCATAGTTCAAGAATAATAATGACATAATTTCACACCAGTGAAAACTCAAATTGCAGTATGTGAAACTGTCCTGAAAGAAAAAAGAATCTGGCCATTATCCAACATCATAGCTTATGAGCAGAAGGCTCACTATGGTATGACCATAGTTCACGTTTAAATACCGAATTGAAGACACTGATCTGTGGTGTCCTCCAAAGTCCACACTTTAAAATATTTCAGTACACCTGGCTGATAGAAACATACAAGCTACTTGGTTGAGTTTATCATTGTTTGAGTTAAAAGTATTAGAAAAACCTGTTTGGCAGAAAGCCTTGAAGACAAACTTGTTCCATGTGTCTGTAGGCCTCTGCTGCTGGGAGACCTCCCTGATGCACTGATCACTGCTTCTCTCTTGCACTCTTAGTGCACTTGTATGCTCCTTTGGGGCTATATATAAATATATATTTATTTATTCTTTATTCATTGGACAGTGGGGATATTACATATTCATAAACTTACCGTATTACCAGTACCAGTACTACAAAGTATTTTTTCTAATGGTTTCTTTAAAAATAACATCCTTTGGGTATTATTTAACAGGAACAAAGGATGCTGAAGTAACAGTCAGGACTATAGCAGTATTTGCCAAAATTTCAAATAGTTACAATAACAATATACATACATCTCTGTATTACAAAGTGGAAGAGTTACTGTGACTGCCCTGCCAGTGTCTGTGTTTGTTGTGTCTCGAGACACATTCAGTTCATAGTTTGACAAATGTTTCCATCTGCAATCAGTGCGAGCCTGTGATCTTTTTCATAGATGTATAAGATCAACAACTGCTATCTATTCTTCTTTTGGGGGTGTGTGTGTGTGTGTGTGCGCGCGCAAGGGTGGGGGGCTGGGGGGGGAGTAGGGTGTGTGTGTGTGTGTGTGCGCGCGCAAGGGGGGGAGTAGGGTGTGTGTGTGTGTGTGTGTGTGTGCGCGCGCAAGGGCGGGGGGGGGGGGGGGGGGGGGGAGTAGGGTGTGTGTGTGTGTAACCAAATAGTAACCACTTAGTTATTTTTTAAAGTATCCATTTCTGTTCAAATGAAAATCAGTGTTTCCCAACACAAAGGCACTAAGCTGTTAGGGTATGTTAACATTTAGAACCTTTTCCATTCCAGAGCTGTGTAACTGCTTGACCTCCTTTGGATATTATTAACTTAATATCTTCTCTCTCACAGAGTTGTACTGTTGCATTTCTCTCCCTTTCTCTTTCTGCGAGTTCTAGAGCTGGATGTTCCTGATCTACGCTTACTGGCCCCACCAAACTGCCAAGTATTTTTTGTTATCTGTGTTTATCTATTGTTTCTCCGCTCTACTCTCAACCTAACCGGTCGAGGCAGATGGTCTCCTTACCTGAGTCGGGTTCACTTGTAGGCTTCTTCCTGTTTTAAAAAGATTTTTTTTACTCCTCCTGCAGATTACAGATTATTTCTGTTGTGACTTCCTTAAATATAAATAGAGCTCCAGTGAATTGAAGGAAAATAGTGAAGATAAGCCCATAAGCAAAAAAACAAAACAAAAAAACCCCAACAACAACCAAAAATAAAACAACAACAACAACACTTTGACCATCTGCCAATAATGTTGACTCCTATGAGTTCTGTGTGAACCATCTGAACAGGTTGTGTTTATATATCTTAACAGATTTTTCATATATGCCAACTGCTGTCCAAAAATGCCAATCATGGCAAAATATAATGCAGATGCAATACTACAGCTACAGCTAATATACTATGCACAATTACTTAGAAAAACAATGCACATGCAGCACAAAGTTAAGGTAGATGTTGCATGAAGATTTTTAGGACGTTTAATCTAAAATGTAAAAATGATTGTCGTGGTCTACATAAAATAATAATAATACGGTAATATTATTATACATCATATGTTTTGTATTGGCTATGTGATAACGGAATAATTATATTACAGTGCATTGTTACAGTGAAGACGTACAAAAACCTGCATGTCATTTGAAACTTGCAACTGAAATAAAATTTGCCAGTTTTACATATTCTTTTTTAACCGTTTAGCTGAATTAAGGGAACAACAGTGAGGCTAAACCGAAACTCGCTGGGCAGCTGACTGTTGATTGAACGCTTGGCGATGCCATGTCAATACGCATATCTGTTTAGGACCAGCCTTAAAGGCGTAGCTCTTAGGAGTATCAGCAAGTGCAGAACAGGAGGCTCGCATTCATTTGAGGAGGCGGAGGGCAGCGCACGCAAGTTTCCTGCGGTGGATCTGAAGTTATCCTTTTAACATCAGGGGTTATCGCAAATAAACCTGCTCTTCGAGAGAGCTGAAAAGGAAAAGAAAGACAGGTACGGTGCTTAATAAGCAGCTGTGTGGCAGGAAAAGTGTTCTTTTTTTTCAACTTGTAATACCTCTTAAAAAATTCTTCTGAAATGCGCGACGTAATTTTGACCGCTTACTTCTTATACCAGCAGCTGTTTCTGTTCTATTTCTTACATTTTGACACTTTTATCGACTCTTTATCGTTATAACAAATGCCAGACGAGGGGAAAGTATTGCTTAATTGTTCGTGAAACATAAACAATTTATAATAATAGCCATTTTATTGCTCTCAATCCTTCCAGCCTATCTGTAATCTGTTTGTTTGCTCCCCTATTCAAATCTGGAGTCGGGCTTCTGTATACCAAGCTCAAATCTGATAACAGACGTTTGTTTCTCGTCTGATATAAATCAACAATGACAACAATGACATTGCATGTCTGTCGTCGGAAGCAACTTGGATTTAGTGCTTGTGCGTAATGACGCACAAAATAGCACTTTTACTGTTCATCTACGCGGAATCCTCATGTCCTGTCCTAAACAGCGAATATCTGATTACAGATTGTGAACTGTAAATCGAGCCTGACAGGAGAAACTTGTGACAAACATGCTGCACCTGCACGATCCGTGTGGGCAGCATTTGCACATGAAAATCGTCCTCCCTGTCTTTTATTTTCTGTGTATTGAGATACAAAAGACTTTGAACCTAATTTGTAAGTGGATAGTGGCGAGCTAAATAAAAGAAGAAAAGCTGGAGAAGAAAAGCTGGGGGAGAAGAGGTACGCTGAGCGATACAGCGAGTAAGACAGAGACGGAGAGATAGAGAGGGGTTTCATGCGCTGTCTGCGTTATCTAACGGTGTGGGTGTTGAAAGGTTAATTAGCTTGAAGCCCGCGGAGCTACCTGGCACCTGCAGGTATTTTCCATACAATATAAGGGAATTAGAAACAATTGAGGGGGATTACACTTTGGAAATCCCTCCAGGATGAATGGGTCTCCATGCCATCCCAAACAATTGAAAGTAAAAGTAAATGTGTGATACGTGACATCTTTTTAAACTGTTTTATCCCAGGCCATGCTACAGGTAGTACTTCAATTTATTATAATGTAAAAGCAATAATAGGAATGGATGCTGGAAGTAATGCTGGATCAACCGTCTGCATTCAGTATTACCACAGAACCTTTTATCTGATGTTGATATTAAAACCAAAAATTCTCTACTAGCCCTTTCTGTTACATTTAATTTAACACTACATATAAATTATTATTATTATTATTATTATTTTGATTGGAATTTCCTTTTTAACTCATTCTAATGTATGGTATTGCTTAAAAAATGTATCATGTCATCATACTGATGCAAAATCTTTAAAAAATCAAATATTTTCACAAAGTTTTGCAAAAACGTTGTCACCAGTCCTGCAGCTTAAAAGCAAAATGGTGCAAAGTAAACTGGACTGACCAATATTACCCAAAATTTGTCACAGCAGAGGTGTAAAGTGACATAAAATGAAAATAAATAATCAAACTGACTGCAGGCTTCGAGAGCAGACATAACCTTCCCTAGACAGCTGCACATCTTAATATGTTCCAGCTGTCCTTGTTTAGACTAAAATTCAACTTGTCTTTTTGTTCATCATCGTTTTTGAACTGGTGCCAATTATTATATGTACAGCACCGTTTTCTTACACAGACAGATGTCTGATATGGTCACATTTCACAGCTCTGTGGCGTGCTGTGTCACGCAGTGGTTGGTGACCTCCATGTTTACTGTGGTCGGACCATTCTGAAGGCGTCAAGCCTTCCCGCTGGTCTCCGCACACAATTCACTCTGTGGGCGTACAAGTCAGTCGGGGGCGACGGCGGGGTTAAGCCTCTTGTGTTCTGGTTTTGATGTATCCCCTTTCACCTCTGATCTTTCACACTGTGTCAAGCTGACAGTTAGCTGAGAGAGACATCACAGCAGAATACTGTGAATGAAGACCATGTAAGGGCGAATATTTTGGTGGTCCGCCAGGGTGAACAAAATCACACCGGGTTTTAGACTTGCCAAGGTGATCCAGACTGATACTTCTTTAATCTTACATACTGTTTCAGTCACCTTATTTGCTGCATGTATGAAGCCTCTTTTTTTTTCTTTTTAAAAAAAAAATGTGTGTGTGGTGTGCCATATGCTGCTGCATTATAAGATTCAGATGTTGCAGAATGACGTATTCAAAGTTACGAGCTGCCTTTTCTTTGATCATCTAGGGAGTGACAGCTGATCTTTGCCTGCTTTATGAGCAGAAAACAAACAAGACTCTGGCGTCAGGTTTCCCACCCTGACCACTGCTTTATCTTGGAATGCCCGGAACGTCCAGGAAATACACCCTGTTTGGACTTCTCGATCCCACTTCCTTGTGTCTAATCTGCACTCTGAGCCAGTGGAGCTAATGTAAACATTTATTGTGCTGCCCCCTGACTGCACATCAATCATAGTAAATCCCACTGTTTGTGACACGGTAACAGAGAACCTCTATTAAGTCATGAAAGCAGTGTTTTAACAAGTTAACCGCATTAAGATTCTTTGGGATCTGGTGGCATACCACAAGTGGGTTTATGTTTTATTAGTTCATTCAGTGCACATGAGTAAAATAAGCCAGGCTTTATGCAGCAGAACCTCAGATCTTAAATATAATACCCGAAGGTTTGTTGAAAAACCTCTCACATTTGGCAGCTGTGTCATTATCAAAATAAATATATGTTACAAGAAATTATAATTTACTGTCATGTTTTTCAGACTCTGTCCCAATCAGAGGCGGTGTGTGTTACCTCCCAGCGGTCTGTTGTCCTCTCCGAGTGCTGAAAAATGAGTCTAAGCAGCAGTGATATGGAGGTCCTGTGGGACTCTTTGGATGAGCTCAACTTCTCTGACCCATTCAGCAACATAACAAGTGTGGAATCAATGGTGTGTGCAACGGCATTCAACCGTACGGCTCTGCTGAATTCCTTGTGCGTCCTCTACACTTTCATCTTCATCGTCGGCCTGGCCGCCAATGCCCTGGTCCTCTGGGTCAACATCCGCGCACAAAGAGACTCCAGCCCTCGCCACGAGACACACATGTACATCACACACCTGGCAGTTGCGGACCTCTGCGTGTGCGCTACTTTGCCTATATGGGTGAGCTCACTGGCCCAGCATGGCCACTGGCCCTTTGGTGAAGTGGCATGCAAACTCACGCACCTGCTCTACTTCGTCAACCTTTTCGGGAGCATCTTCTTCCTGGCCTGCATGAGTGTGGATCGCTACCTGAGTGTGACGCGGCATGCAGATGAGGGAGGTGCACGCAGGAAGTTGATCCGCCGTGGTGCGTGTGTAGGGGTGTGGCTGCTGGCTCTGATGGCCTCCGTGCCAGACACCTACTTTTTGCATACTGTGAAGTCAGCACACGGGGACATCATGCTGTGCAGGCCTGAGTACCCAGAGGAGAACCCCAAGGAATGGATGGTGGGGGTGCAGCTGAGCTTCATCCTGCTTGGCTTTGTTCTCCCCTTCCCCATCATTGCTGTGTTTTACATCCTGCTGGCCAGAGCTTTTGCTCACTCCTCTTCCTCTTCTTCTACTTCATCGTCTTCCCCAGTGGAGCAGGAGCGCCACGTGAGCCGCAGGGTGATCCTAGCTTACATTGTGGTTTTTCTGGCCTGCTGGGGGCCCTACCACGGTGTCCTTCTGGCTGACGCTCTGTCACAGCTGGGCATAGTGCCGCTGACCTGTGGCCTGGAGAATGTGATCTACGTGGCCTTACATCTCACCCAGTGCCTGTCCTTGCTTCACTGCTGTTTCAACCCCATCCTCTACAACTTCATCAACAGAAACTATCGCTATGACCTCATGAAGGCTTTCATTTTCAAATACTCGACGAGGACGGGTCTGGCACGTCTCATCGAGGCTCCGAACGTGTCTGAGGCCGAGTACTCTGCTGTAGCCGTAGAAAACCCACCACAGATTTAAAAGTTACAAATCTCTGCAAAGCATTTAATGAAGCTTTAATTCAGTGTAAACTTATTTTACAGCTGATTTGTTTCGTCTATTATCAGCATTATGTTTGATATTAGAAGAGGAAATGCTAGAGTCACAGAAAAGCTTGAAGATCGTGACACTTCATCTCTGGTGGACTGATTGAAAAGCACTTAGAAAGCAATGTTATTATAAAATCTGTTACAGAAATCATGGAGCTAGTATCATTGCAAAGCCAAACCAGTGATTGTAAATGTGTTAAATTTTTGCTGTCTATGTAGAATTATATTTGTTGTAAGTTTGTATGTGTATTCAATGTATATATATCTTTGTTTATAGTTGTATTTATATGAGTTTAAATGTGATTTCCTCTTAAATGTCTTCACACACTGATTTCTGCTCAGAGCTCCACGTCATACAGTGCTGCCTCAGTATTTAAGTCCTGCTGTGTTATTGACCACAACCTCTTCTCACATCAGCAAAAAAAGCCTACTAATAAGACAAAAGACTTTTTTAGGTTTCTACCTATTAAAGGAACACTTCAACTCTTTTGAAAGACAGACTTTTCACTCTGACTGAATTTATGATATTAATGCTATTCTCATATTTCTAAACTAAACATAAAGACAGCAAGTTGCTGATTAGCTCAGCTCAACTTAACCTACCCTCCTACTTTAACCTTACGGCTCAGTTTTATTTTGGTCGTAAATCTTTCCAGACCATCAGTCTGGAACCATCAGCTGTGACTACTGAGCTCAAAGAGTAGATGCATGTCGCTTCTGACTGTTCTGGAAGGCATTATACAGTATCCATTGCTGTCACTCTTATCTTGTATCTGTGCTAGTGAGATACACATGTCCATGTGGTATTAATCCTGCTGGGTTATCACGCAGGCCGCAGACAGCGCAAACCTTATGACCAAAATAAATGAAAAGCTTTGTTCCTCTCATACAGGCAACACCCAAGTGTTTATTGGCAACCAAATAACAAAAACATCATCATGTTTGCATGTGTGTGTGTATGTGTGTGTGGAGGTGTCTGGGTATTACAGATGCCCTGTGTCTGTGTATGAAAGAGCATGACAGCAAACGAGGACTTTTACATGTTATAAAATGTAAATAATAACTTTTTCTTTTTTTTATATGCTGACACAGGCACATCTTCTCATGTGATTGGTTACATATGTAAGCTGTTACACCGAAATGTTTTTTTCATGTTGCAATTCGAACGAAGTTGAGAAGCAAACATGTGTCTACAAGAACAGAGGCATTCCTTTGACACGGTAATGTGTAACACGTGTATTATTCTATATTAAATGCAGACAAAATATTTTGCTTCAGTGATTTCTTCTTCACCCCAAATGATTGTTTATTTTTCTTAAACTTTTTAAAAAAAAATGGAATGTGGTTCAGAAAAAGCTTTTGCTACACTGTTTGAATAAATCCATCCAAAGAATCATCAAACTTCAGCTAAAAAGACAAGTCAGTATCACTTTTCATTGTTAATCCCAGCTGCCACCTCTAATATACGCTAAACTCTAGGATAGGAGTGGTTCAGCTATAGTTCATGAGATATGGTTTAGTATAAAAAGGAAAACACATTTTCCAGTTATTGACATACTGAAAAACTAAAGGAAAAGGAAACAGACTTTATTTTCAGGGTCAGATGAAAAGCCTTGATTAGTTCACATCTTGCCACCAGATTAATATACAAATGTGGGTTTAATATCTTTTTAGCAGCCGTGCTGCCACCAAATTGCAAAACTGTTCCAAGAAGATACAAACTAAGCACTTTTTTGGATTTTCATGCCCAGTGCTTGACCTGCAAACTTCCATGTGCATGCAATAAATTCTTTAGCCAGTGCACACCCCTCTAATGGGATGACGAGCTCATTAAGGAATATCATCTTGATGGCCAAGAGGGAGGTATCTTGGCCAAAGTCAATGCTCATGTTTGCCTGAGGGCAGAAGTGTTGATGCAGTTCCTTCCAGTGTTCCCTCCTATCCTGAGGAAATGGATAATATTTTTTTTTCTCAGGAGTCACTGATAATGTTATCCTCATAATTTAAAGTACCAAAACTCTATTATTTTATCTATAACAATAACTCTGTGTTGCCTTTGTTTCTGAGTATGTGCCTGCTCTTTCTAACGTTTTAAAACAACACATTTTAAAACAGCTCATCAACCCTTGTCTACATATTTTCAGTGTCTTGACCTCCTTTTATAGCGTTAAGTCACACCACCAGCTGTAGTAACCTTGGGACAGTATAGTCTTGCTGACACACTGTGTTGCTGTGTTATATTGGGAGCTGAAGAGCAGATCAGCAGTCTTCGTTGTTGAACCAGGAGTGCATTTATGTCATGACTGCGATAAGAAAGCTGTGCAGGGATATCCAAAGGTCAACCTAGTCAGTGCTCTGCTAATGATACTCTCCCGGCCTCCTTCTTGTCTGAGAGTCTGCCGTGATCTTTCAGCACTCAGCGTGTGGTAGTCGCCTCACCAGAGCTATGGCCTCTCTATCTGTTCTTGTGTGAAGGATTTTCCACACACAAGCCCAAGCTATCTGCCCTGAACTTTGTCAATACATTCCTGATGTTAAAGCCTAGTTACGGCTCATTTCACCCCTGCTAACTTGCTCATCTGCAGTAAAAGAATGAGACAGCTTCTGACTAACTGAGAAATGGATACTTTTGCTCTTGATCCTCCTGCATGCAGGTCCCGATCAAGCATTTATGAGCATGTGTGCTCCCAAATTTCAATGTGTTGTGAGATGATTTAATTGAAAGGTATTCAGAAACATAAGAAACTTAGATGTTAAAGTAGAGCAGCGACTGCATCATTCCATGTTTGGCACTGATCACCACCTGCACTCATGTATATATCTATCTACTTAGCACTTTTAATTCTTATTCTTTTTTTTATTTTCATGTCTATTTTAGCGTAATTTATGACAGTATGTTTGCACTGAAGCACCGCAGCAATTTCCTTATGTTGTAAACCTGCTCAACATTTGGAAATAAAACCCTTTCTGATTCTGATTCTGACTCAAAATAAAAGAGCAGTTGCCTTAAGAAGGAACTGATTTGGCCTCGCAGTCCTGTAACACTGTCAGACTCAGGATCAAGTACTAGATAACTTATCATTTTTTTCTGTTGAGTACTAATAGATTTAGATTAGGAAAATAATTTATGTTGGTAAGGATTGTGCAGTTGCTTGACGGGTTTTACAGGTTTTAAACTGTTGGTGCTTGACAGTTGAGGCCTTTTTGTGTGGTGTTTACATATTCTACCTGCACTTATGTAAGCCTTCTAAGGGTCCTTTAGTTTCCTCACAGTACAAAAACCTGCTTTTTAAAAAAAAAAATTAGGTTACATGTTGATTCTGAGTTGGCTGTAGCTGTGGACATGAGCATGAAAGGCTACCTGTTCCTCTGCAACGAGCTCAGGGTGCAGCCGGCCTTTCACATAGAGTTACACACTGCTATTTGCCCGAGCACCGCCTGCAACCTTAGTTGGATACATGTTTAAAAAACTAAGTGCAAATAAATCAAAATTTTTTAGCTGTTCCACTTTAAAACCCATGCCATTTCCAGATCACCATAAAAGTAACTGCTACACAGTGAGTCTGGGGTCCCTGCAGTTGTGTGCCTTCAGGTCCAGCTCAGGCTATAAACATCCCATGCGCTGCTTACTTGCATGACGGTAAGCAATCATATTGCTTCGATACTACAATTACACATGGAAGATGGATGTTTGCATCGTTAAGTGCAGTATGTCATTGGACATCCTCTTCCCTCCCTGAAGGACCTGTACAGCACTCGCTGTCTCAAGAGGGCACGCAGCATCCTACGGGACTGCACACACCCAGGACACTGGGTGTTTAAGCTGCTGCCGTCTGGCAGGAGGTTCAGGCTGCTGAGGTCCCGAACAAATAGACTCAAGGACAGCTTTTACAACAGGGCAATAGCCCTGATCAATGTAAATAGCTGACCTGACTGGATACCTCCCTGGACTTTTTAGGGGGAGGTAACAATGTTTAAAACGATAACAATAATATTTATATGTATAACAAGGTGCAATAATAATTAATGTGCAATAATAACAGTGTGCAATACACATACACTTATTCTTCTTTTTTATACTAAATTAATATACTGTGTTGTGTTGTTTGTTACGTTGTGATGTGTCATATCGTGTCGTGTTGTGTTATATGTAGTGCCGACGTAGGACAGTTTTTCCAGTTTCATTGTACTACTGTACTATGTATGACTGTGCAATGACAATAAAGAGTTATCTTATCTTATCTTATCTTATGTGCAATTCCAGATGAGGCACTAAAATGTACTCTATATATTTCAGTCCAGTTCCTCAAGCCACCCCAGTGAGCAACACAATTGCTGTCTGGTGTTTGTTATAAGAATCTTTTTTTTTTTTTTTTTATTTACGGGGTTGCCACATTTATGCACTGTATTGATGCAGAAGAGGTTTTATGGAAGGATACCCACACGTCTGTGGTTAGCTTTTAAGCAACAAAAAGCAGGACGTTCAAGGTTGGAGAAACATTGCGGTTTTGGTTCAATATAGTTGAACATGTTGTCCCAATCAGCCCAAGACTTTTCCATATAAAACTGCACCATAATCATTCTTAAAGAGTGCTGTAACTGTAACCACAAGAAAGTTTAGATTACTTTAAACTGGATATTTAGTGGGGGTGAGCAAAGTGCCTGACGTCTTTTGACATCGTACTGATGTATTCTCATCTAATTAGAGGCAAATACTTAAGCTCACCTTTTCCTCATTATATTGATAGTAACATGCAATCCATCCGAATTACATTTACTTCGTGATTTCTGGCAGTTGGGGCTCCCTTAGAGTCAGAAAAGTAATAATATATATGTAAATTTCCCTTCTAGCACTCTGCAGTAGAGTGTCCTGTAATTTACTTGAACTGCACTTATGCTGTGATCTGATGTGCTTCTTCTACTTCTATTAGATGCTGCTTACACAGGATCCGTCAAACATACTGAAACAGTGCTCTATGCAAAGCCAAGCACTGAAAAATGTTAAGAGAGTCCCCTCTTAATGCTTCTTTCACAAGATAGAGTGTTTGCAATTTATTGTTATCACCAAAGCACTTAGGGTACCTCAGATTTGTGCAATTCTCACCACCAAACGGAAAGAGTTACAACAAAATTTATGAGCTACAGAAAGCCAATATCCTGTTCAGCCTTTGCTTCTCTTACAGCAGGGTCATATATGAGTTACGGTACTACAGTACAGTGTTAATGGGGGTTATCTGTTTTAGTTTGATTTAATAAAACAGGTAATGGGCCAGAAATGAACACCATTAAGGGGGTGTTTTTCCTATAGCACGATTGTCTCCATCTGATGCTGGAAAGAGATAACATTAATGAATTATGAAACGGCGGGAAGGTGTAGAGGTAGGGAGAAATTTAGAGCATTTAGACATCTTTTTAAAATGCTTTCTATGGGAAACACTTTACAAATATTCATATTTTGTACATATTATTCACACAAACACAAAAAGCTTGTGCCGTCACTGCAACTGTCACATCATTCCTGGATTTCCAGGTATTTAAAGTGGTTTCATATCTTAGTCAAGCCCGAGCTTGTTCCATTCACTCTGGAAGGAATTTTGCATGAGGAGTAAACAACGAGAAGGGGTTTTGAATTATTAATGAAGCAGAATGGGTAAAAAGCAGCTGCTTTTGCTCAGAGGGACTTTTTAGTGCAAACAGAAAGAAAATTAGAAGACCAGGGTCAGTTTAGCACATCATGACTTCACTACTGTCAGGAGAGGGCAAGTGCTGTGCCCAGATGTTGGACAGATGGTAAGTGAAACGACCACTGAATGCGATTTTGGTTCAAGCACCACATTTACAAACTCACAGCTTATATAACCTTTTGTGACAGCAAAAAATTTAAGGCCATATTTTTGTGTGGGCTGGAGTACATCAAAAGAAACTGAAAGATAACAAAAGCTGAAGTTTATGTTGCTTAGATCAGCTGGTCGGTGCACCAGATCATTTTCTGCTTCAGAGCAGAAGAAAATAAATAAAAGTCTGGTAGCATTTCATAGTGTTTACAAAATGTCACTTAATGTTATTAGTATCTGCCCATGAATTGTTTGCTTGTTGCTCTTTTAATCTATGCAGAAATTTCTGACTCAGCCAAATAAATACAATAAATAAAATAAATAAATATATAAATACAAATAATGCAAATGAATCAGCACTTTCAGTGCTGATGCACTGGGCTATAAAAGAGTTTATCCAGAGTTAACTGGGACTTATAAAAGAAATACTGAT